CCACTCACAGTGCTGTTGGCCTGCAGGGCACCCCTTCATGCCGCCGTACTGGGGCCTGGGCTTTCACCTGTGCCGCTGGGGTTACTCCTCCACTGCCATCCTCCGCCAGGTAGTGGAGAACATGACCAGGGCCCACTTTCCCCTGGTAAGTGAGGGTGCAGCAGGGGCAGCCAGACAGGGCAGCGGAGCTCCTGCATGTCAGCGGGGGCCCCTGTACTGCACCATAGGATGTGCAGTGGAACGACCTGGACTACATGGACGCACGGAGGGACTTCACCTTCAACAGGGATGGCTTTGCGGACCTCCCAGCCACCGTGCGTGAGCTCCACCAGGGCGGCCGGAAGTACATGATGATTGTGGTGAGTGCCCCGCCCCGCTCCAGCCCTTCCCTTCCCTGCCTCCCTTTCCCTTCCTTTAGGGCAGTGCCTGGGTCTGGGGAGGGCAGGTGCCTGTGCCATGGCCCTGGTCGCCAAGGGCGTCTTCTGAGACTTTCCGATACTGAGGGAACATCAGGGAGGTATAGACTTGGTCTCCACTAAGTCTGCATTATTTGGAATCTCTGGTTTTGGGGTTACTTGAACTGCCTTAAAGCTGAAGGCAGGGATACACAGTAAGCTGGGAAAGGCTGGAGGAGCTGAACGGGGGAGCAGATGCATCTCCTTGCTCACCCCTCCTGTCTGTGTGGGAAGTGGTGAGCAAGGGCAGGACTGAGTAACAGCACAAAGGCCATCCTGCCCCGCGCCTCTACCCACAGTGGGAGGAATGTGATTCTGGGCTGGTCTAGCCTGGGTCTTAGGCCTGGCCCTACCCAAAGGAGTCCAGAATTAGGGACTGAAAAGACCAGACAGCCACCATCAGGAGACCCCCTTGAGAAGAGTAAATCTGTCTGCTGAGAGGTTTAGACGGCGTGAAAGTTACCTGTATCTGTCATGGCTGCCCCCATGAGGGCAACAGTCAGACACCCTGTCACTTAAAAACATTCTAAAGTCACCGTAGACACCCCGGAAGGCTTAGAGGAAAGGCAGTACTCCCGTCCAGCGACACTCCCCCACCACCACTGTGCAGGCAGACATTGCATGTACACACGTGTACGGCCCATGCCTCTCCCCCTAGAGATGGACTTGGGCCACGTCTCTCTCATCCTGACCCATTTCTGCGCCCCCTCCCAGGATCCTGGCATCAGCAGCTCAGGCCCTGCTGGCAGTTACAGACCCTACGATGAAGGTCTGCGCAGGCGGGTTTTCATCACCAATGAGACCGGGCAGCCACTGATTGGCAAGGTAGGCTGGGGAGCTGGAGGGTCTGAGCAGGGAGAGCAGAGTAGCTGTTGAGGAAGACTGGGATTTCAGAGATGTCGGGGCCAGTGGAACAGAGTGGGTGGGATAAGGCCCAGGCGCTGGCAGCAGGGGTTTCCGATAAGGGACACCCTGGAATTGTTCATCAGGGGGCCTCAGGCTTCATGGGCAGCGGGGCCCTGCCAGGCATGACCTTTGCATACCTTTGGTGAGGTCTTGGGGGCCTCCTGAGAGCTCCCCGCCCTCCCATGGGGATCTCAGCAGAGTCCAGGGTGTGCCCAAGCTAAGAGGAAGGGGGACCACCGCTGAGGGAGGGGCCGGGCATGCCCCAGATGTGGGAGACCCGCTGCCTGAGTGGGTCTTTGTCAGCAGCAGCCCCAGTGAGGGTCTCCACCATGCTTCTCCCCACACTGCAGTTCCCTGGTCTGTCCACACCCGGGCTGGACGTGTGGGGTGGCCTGGGGCTCTCCCAGGGTGAGGCCCGTCAGGCCCTGTGTCAGGATAGTGTGGGCAGGGACTCACTCATTTACCTCGGGGCCTCAGTCTGGTTTGCCAATTTGGCCATCAGTAGTGAGGCTTCCACCCTGCGGGAGGCTGAGACTCCACAGGACCCCAATGCAGGCTCTGGCCGGGGCCGAGTCTCCCCCTTGGCCTCTCACTGTCCAGGTGTGGCCTGGACCCACTGCCTTCCCCGACTTCACCAACCCCGAGGCCCTTGACTGGTGGCAGAACATGGTGTCTGAGTTCCATGCCCAGGTGCCTTTTGACGGCATATGGATGGTAAGTACGGCCTCTGCCCAGCACCCCTGACTCTGCCTGTGGGCACCAGCCCCACCCTCTGCACCCTGGGCTTCTCTTGCAGGACATGAATGAACCGTCCAACTTCGTGAGGGGCTCTGAGAATGGCTGCCCAGACAACGAGCTGGAAAACCCACCCTATGTGCCAGGTGAGCCCCCATCCTCCTGCTCGGGAGCCCCTGGGGGTCAATGGCTCACACCTGGGACTTGCGACTTGACGCTCTCAGTTCTAAGAAGCAGTGGGCGGCGGCACCTGAAGGGGAGGGACGGGAACTCCGGGCAGTTGTGGTCCAGGTGGGGTGATGCAGCCTAGGACCAGGCGTGGTCACACAGCCACGGCTTCAGGGGAGGGCTTTCAGGCTCGGGTGACATGAGGCATGCTGGCTGGAGGTCTGCAGAGCCCAGTGTTCAGTACCCACCTCGTCCTGTCTGTGCGAGTGGTGGAGACAGCAGAGGGACGTGCTCAGACCCCGAGGGCCACCCCAGGAGTCACGCCTGAATATGTAGTGACTGCACAGCACTCCCAGAACAAGGCGGGCAGGAGGGTGCATGCGCCCGCCCTCCCAAGGGGGAAGTCCATGCAAACCGGCCCCTCTCTCCCAGGAGTGGTCGGGGGGACCCTGCAGGCAGCCACCATCTGTGCCTCCAGCCACCAGTTCCTGTCCACGCACTACAACCTCCACAACCTGTACGGCCTGATGGGAGCCATGGCCTCCAACAGGTGAGGCTGGTGGGAGCTGGCCCAGCTCAGGGTACTGAGGGGCCCAGCTCACGGTGCGGTGAGAAAGGAAGACGCCCTGACCACTGGGGCCACCAGGGCCTGGGCGCCTTCCTGTGCCAACAAGAGCCCTGTGACTGCTTCCGGGCTGGGGTTGCTGGCCGGGGCATGGCTGACTCCCACCGCTGCGTGTCAGTTCCTTCTCCCGGCCCTGCCTTGCCACTGCCATGGCCAGGTGCTCTGCTCCCAGTGAGCCCCTCCCCTCGGCTGTCCCCTCCCGCCCAGGGCCCTGGTGCAGGCTCGGGGGACACGCCCCTTTGTGATCTCCCGCTCAACTTTTGCTGGCCACGGCCGGTTTGCCGGCCACTGGACAGGGGACGTGTGGAGCAACTGGGAGCAGCTTTCCTACTCCGTGGCAGGTGAGAGCCCGTCTTGAGGCACTGCGAGGGGAGGCAGGGGGGCTCCTTCACGGGGAGCTCTGCCTGGGCTGGGTTCTGGGCTCTGCACAGCTCAGATGCTGCAGTGGTGGCTTGGGAGCCTCTGCTGAGTCCTGTGGGCCAGAGACCCGCTAGCCCTGCACACCTGTGCAAGTGGACCAGCTCACCTGGTCCGCCCTCCACACCTTCTGGTGGCCGTGTCTCTGTCTCACCCTGGCCACTGACCAAAAAGCCACCAAATTCCCTTTCCCAGTTGCCCTTCTGGTGACCGTGTCCTGAGCTGCAGGAAAGTGGATCTGAGCTCAGCCCACAGGACACCCCTGCCCTTGGGCATCTCAGCCCCAGCTCCACCCTGTGAAGAGGAATTTGATTTCTGTTCGCAGAGCTTTAATGGGGTTGACTCATATTAGGCCTGGAAATGGCCAAGACCCCTGGAAAACAGGTTAGGGTGTGAGGGGTGCCGGGCCACCATGGGCAGCTTAGAAGAGCCGGGCCAGGATCCAGGACCCTCTGAAATGTTCTAAATAGTGGGGACCTTGCTCCTTGCACACCTAAGGGCCATGGGGCTACACCTCCCACTCTCTCAGAAGCGAGCCCCCTTCCAGAAGGTCCTGGCTGCTCTGCCCCAGCCAGTTGCCTCCTCAGCCTGGCACAGGTGTGGCGGACAAGGACAGTCTGGAGCCGCCTTGCAGAGGCCTTTCCAGGTCTTTGATTTTTAGCGCCTACCAGCCCTGAGTGCTGCTGAGCAGCGGGCATGCAGTGCTCAGGCTGTGGTCACCCAGAAGAGGTGCTGTCCTGCCGCTGGCTCCCAGCCCAAGGAGATGGAGGAGACCGAGCCCAGTGGCAGTGGTGGGGAGGGCCACACTGCGCAAGAGGACCTTGGACCTGTCCACCCTTCAGAGCCAGGGACTCACTGTCCCTCCTAGGTTCCCACGAGCTGGGGCTTACGACGACAGGACGACCCCCGCATTGTGGGGACCACACGTCTGAGATGAGGTGTGGGCAGGTCGCGCTCGCTAGCTGTCAGCCCTGGAGTCCTTCACGTGGCGGCTTCCTGTTCTAAGGGTGTCAGTCGTCGGACCTCAGATCCACTCAGTTCCATCTGCCGAGACCCTGTTTCCAGAGGAGGTCACATTCCTTGTCCTGGGGGTTAGGACTTGATCCTGTGGGGGACTTGGTTCACATGTGGGGCTCTGCTTTGCTTCCCCCGCCCCGTTGTCAGGAAGCAGTGCCCCGGAGGACATGGCTGTTGCCCTGAGTGGAAGACACAGAGCTCAGCACCGTCCTGACCCTTCAGAGGGAGCCGCACCTCTGGCAGCTCCACAAGCCTATCTGTCCGGCTCCCTGGCCTGAACTGGCCCAGCTGCACAGCCTGAGGCCAGTCACCTGTTCCCACAGAAATCCTGCTGTTTAACCTGCTGGGGGTGCCCCTGGTCGGGGCGGATATCTGTGGCTTCGTGGGGAGCACCTCGGAGGAGCTGTGTGTGCGGTGGACCCAGCTGGGAGCCTTCTACCCCTTCATGCGCAACCACAACGACCTGCACAGCCAGGTAGGGCCGCTGGGGGGCGGGGAGGAGCCTGAGTCAGGAGGGTCCCCCCATGCTGAGACCTGCCCTGGCAAATCCTGTCTCTGCCACGGAAGCCCCAACCCACTGTCCTCCCCACTGGGTGACCAAAGGGCAACTGAGGCGCCCACTGTATGGGACCAGGACCTCAGGTGCCCCTTTGCCCTGCTGCCCGCACAGCCCCAGGAGCCGTACAGATTCAGCGAGCCCGCACAGCAGGCCATGAGGAGGGCCTTCGCCCTGCGCTACGCGCTGCTGCCCTACCTCTACACGCTGTTCCACGGTGCCCACGTCAGGGGCGAGACCGTCGCCCGACCCCTCTTCCTGGAGTGAGTGACCTGGGCCCGGGGAGCGATTCCCGCAGTACTCGGGTGTAGGAGCCGACTGGGGCACCCGTCCTGCCATGGGCTGTGCTTCTGGAACCAGAGCAGATCATGGCCGAGTGAGGCCGAACTGTCCCCCAGCCTCACCAGATCGCAGCTCAGGGCCAGGGTGTTCAGGGTGTGGAAAGCGGGGATGGAGACCAGTGAGTACCGACCCAGCCTCCCCGATGGCAGGCAGTGCTGAGACAGGCGTGACGGGTCCCCGTGGGGCAGGGGAGGGCAGCAGAAGTTCAGCAGGTGACCCCAGCCAGGACTGGGCACAGTCCTCGAGTGAAGGACAGAGCCTCCGGTGGAAAGGTTCGTCAGCTCTCTGCAGATGTCGCGGTGCCTTCTCCTTGCACCACATGAATGGAAGCTCCAGAAGAATCAAGCGTTAGGCATCAAAAGTAAGCTGTACAAAACGCCGCAGGTTAGAAGTGACCGTTTACCCATGCTGCGGGGCGGAGGGCTTTCTGAGCATTGGAGCAAGAGGAAGGAGGTTTAACTCTTAAAGAAGAAGGACTACGCCACTCAGCAGAAAGGGCAACTTAAAGTCTCTGGCTAGAAAAAAGTTGAAACTTCAAAACGTAGATCGCAGTGGCAAACAGATGAGACTCCGTCAGTAAAGTGGACAGCAGTTCTCCCAGTACAGAAGGTGCACAGCACGGGCAGGTGGGCGGCTGGGGTGAGGCTCCGAAGAGCCTAGAGTGTGCACCCAGCACACCCCCGCTGCAGAAACGAGCACAACCCCTTTTTTGATCATCTGTTATTTCTTCAAACATTTC